ATAGCTAATTACTCTTATCTCCCCAGTCGTCTGTAGAACTTTTGCATCCTCTACGTCTTCCTCGCCATCCTCAATATCCCAATCCCAAGCTATCGTCATCCTCCCTCAAAATCCTACCCTAGAATCTCAATCTCAATCTCAGATCCAACAACCGCACTCCCCCCACTTCCCACTAGCGCCCTACCTTAATTCTCCCACGCCCCTTTCGACGGGTCAAGAGAAAAAAAAAAAGGATCTCCCCAATTGTTGAGTTCCCCAATCCTCCAACGTCACCCAATCAAACACAACCTTCTTTTCGGAGTTTTTTTAATCGTTCAATTTCAGAACCGCAGCCTCGTTACCCACGGTCATTTTCCGAATCCCCAACATTGTATGTACACTGGACGGATGGATATCTGGGTTTGGTTTCAGGAGGTGTTGGTATTGCCGGGGCCAGCGGAGCCGAAGTTCGGCGATACGTGGGATCTGAGCTGCATACTGACTGCATCCTTTTCAATGTTGAAAGAGTTCGAACCCTCTGATATGACCGTGTCTGATATGTTGGCATTGATCTAAAACAACGAGTGGTTACGCGTAATATCCTGAGAGCAATAATGCCTCCGCTAAGTTCAGGGAAAACAAGGTTGCATCCGTTGTTCCGATCAATCGATCTCGGCTCAACAGCTTCATTTGACCTCAACCACTACCCGTGATGAATTAAAGGCTAGACAAGTTGACTGAACCGGTTATCGTAAACACAACCTTCATCCAAATCAACAGCTTAACTTCTTTCATATCAGATGTTATTACGAGTGAATACCACTAAGACAGCGCTGCTTTGGCCTTCACATTTAACACTCTGAAACCAACATGAAGTTATCTGTATGTATTGGGCGTATCTAGACCAGGTTTCACCTCCAACTCCCCAGTCCTCAAGCTAAAGCCAAGATATTGCATCATACGCCTCCACAGTCTGTATCTACACCTCCCTCTCGCTCCTCCTACTCCAATCTGCACAAAGGAAAAGAATAGATAAATAATTCAAGATCGTAAGGCAACCCAGACTAATCTAGCCCGCGGGCCGTTGCCTCAGCCTTGTCAGACATCGTACGACTCCCCACTGATGTCCGCCCTCCCCCGCGAGCAACCTTACTTCACAGAGAAAAGTAAAGGTAGCCTCGCATCAACTCTTCCCCAGTATTACCCGCTCCCATCTCGCAAGCCGTTTTTTAAAATAAGGACCATCCAAGTTGATTTGCCCGGTCGATGACTCGCTTTTGGTGCGGTACACCCCCGCCTCTCCAGGCCTGGCCGGTATAGCATGTACGGATATGTGACTTGGGCATATGTACACCTAGCCAGGCCCTTCCCTTCTAGAAAAACAAAAGAAAAATAATAATAAACAATGCCATCCATGTCTTCATAACATCCGTAAACCCCGGTGCCGAAATCCCAATGTACCCAAAGAAGCAGAAGTATTAGTAACGAGGTCTGCCAGAGAGCAAGAAGTGGAATTCCGTAACCATCGTCAACACCGTCTTCGCCGTCTTGAAGCGCCAGCCGTAAAGTATGCCGAACCGTCCATGCCACCCCTTATGTTTTGTAGAAACGGATATCAATGATGAGGTGAAATGCGACCAATTTGATTTGAGTGAACCGCTCGAACCGCTTGCAAAGTAAAACCATGTCAAAGAATATAAACGACCTGGGACAGTCGTAGATTTTCGTGGGATACAACTGTTTAGTAAGTCTCTCCCAGGTCGCTCAGTTTCCTTGGGCCGGATACACTGGACCTCATTGTGTTTGCGCTTATCCTTCGGCTACCGCTCTGGCGTCGAATCGTTGGCATGGGGATAGCGCTGCCTTCACCGTTCGAGTATGTACCCCTGCGGCTTGGCGTTCGGAACTCCCCCTCATCCTCTTCCTCTAGGTCCAAGTGGCTAATGCTGGCAGAGTGGCCATGAATCGATCCTCCCATCGAGGAGCGAGGTCGGCCCATGGGTGTTCGAGTTCCTGAGAGTGATGCCCTTGAAACGGGTCGTGGGATCATTTCTCCGGCGGTTCGTGAGGGTGGTCGGGCATACGAAGTGACACTAGCACGTGAGCTCGGCCTGCTGATCTCCTCCGGACCTCCACGGTTCGGCAATGGGCCAAATGATAAGCGGCTGACCCCAGACGTGCTAAGACGGGGCACGTGGCTTCCCTTGGTTGCTGGTGTTGGAATACCGGTGGTTGGTGTCATGTCGTCGCCTGCAACCGAAGATGCGGTAGAGCCACCAGTGCGCTTACGAGAACGGATCGTAACCGACGAGGGCACATTGGTAGAGCTATAAACCGACGTTCGAGGTGAAGCGCGAGGTGGAGTGCGAGTCGGCCCGGGAAGCTTAGATCGTGCGGAGTGCACACGAGCCTCGAGGCGTTGCATCTGGGCGGTAAGGGTTCGAATATGGGTGAGAGAGTTAGAGGCGGGAAGTTTGTGAGAAGCCGAGCGAGGCCCAACGGCACGGTTGGCTGGCGTGCGCATTGTCGTTGTGCCACCAGTCGAGATACGGCTGCCAGGGGCACGGGTCGTCTTGGTAGGAGGCTTAGATCGAGGCTTGGGAGTGACACTGTTGTCTGACGAGGGCAAACGAGAACGACCAGATGCCCTTGAAGTAGCGGGAGTTCTCGATGCCATCTTGGGAAGAGTTCCAGAGACGTCGGACATGGGAGGCGAAGGCGGGTCAGGAAGTTCGGAGAGAGTGTCCTCGTCTGGTACAGGCGACTTGGAATCTGGAGGCGTGGTAATGAGAGGAGAGCTGGCTGTAGAGCCAGGAGAGGCGGGGTGGTCGAAAGTTGGCGACTCGAGGATAGAAAGGTCGGTTGAAATGGTGGACAGGTGACGAGACTCCTGTTTCTTGATCTTGTCCTGCAGAAGCTCTGCTTCAATCTTGAGATCGCCCAGTTCCTCGCGCAAGCGCTGTGACTCGATACGTAGCTGTTCACGCTCCTGCTCGCCAATCTTGATCTCCTCTTCCATCATGACAGCCCTCTCAATCGCCTGGTTGTACTTTGACTCCATATCTTCCAGAGATGACGTGGTGTTGCGCGCCTGTCGCTCAAAGTCATCGTTGGCAACTTCAATATCCCTCAGCTTCATTTGCAAAGTCCTGTTTGTGTCTCGAAGTGTGGTGATTTCCTTCTCGAGTGCATTCTGTGATGCGCTGGCCTCTGTTTTAGACTCTCTGTATTTTCTCTGTGCGACGAAACGAAGCCATTGTCAGCCAAAAACGTCCCGCCCGATTAGAGTTGGAGGCTGTTGGGAATGAGTAGACATACCTTCCACTCCTCAACCTCGAAACCAAGTGCTTCGGCTTTTTCTTGGTGATGTCGCTCCTGCTTCTCTGCTCTCTCGATATCCTTCTCCAACTCCTGCTCAAGCTCCCTGCTTGAATCCCTGAATTCGGCCAGTTCGGATTCCAATTGTTCATACTGTGACTTGTACCAGCCAAGCGTATCCTCGACGCTGGCCCCAGGACCTGGCGGAGAGGATGGAGGCTCTGCCATACTGCGTAGTTCAATTGATTTGCTGTTGTTCGTTGTTGTTTATTGTCTCTCTCGCATCGATATGTATGTAAAGGGGGGCTGCTGTCGCGATATCGAAATGTCGGGATGCGGGATGAAGAAAGGTGGCGCAGGCGATAATACGTGGGTAACAAAGATGAAAATCGTTGATGGATTCGTCGAATTATTTGGTTCTATGACTGCGCAACTGTCGGCATAGTTAGTCGCCCTGTTCTTGGGCGAAGTGGCGGGAGATTTCGCTCACCGATTCCAGGACCCAACGATGATCGGAAGGGAAACAGAGAGAGGATGACCCTGCCCTGTCGATTCGCAAACGGTACCTACCTAAGTCTTACCTGTAGAACTGCAAGATGCTGGAAAACTGCAGTTGTTAGTATTCGCGGCCGCTGGAGAGCGGAAGTTCCATGGGTAGGAAACGTCGCGCGATGATTGTCGTAGTTGTTGAGTTGATGCGAGTGTTGAATCAATGTTTGGCCTGTGACCTTGGGCTGTTGATGCGACACATGGTCCCCCCATTCTCCTTGTGCCAGCATCATGCACTAAACTAAGATAGGAAAGGTCAGTGGCAGCCATGGGCAACAGGGCGTTTCCGTTCCTCCAACGACCCCACTGTTGGACAGCAATCCTCTGTCTCAGATACACACGTGACTCATATGACTCTTTGTGCCTGAATTGTGGTCGTATCCATTCTTTGTTATGTGCGTTGTCAATTCTACGAAGCTGTTTGGGAAAATTCACTTTGATCTGAATCATCCCAAATTTCTCTTAAGCTCAGTGCATTGACCTAGGGGTTATCCGTATGCACCACCGCTCTGATACTTTGACAGGGGTTCGCCACTTTGTCTTAGACTCAAGTTTCATAACGTGAATCTATGAATAGAAGCTGATATTAATCCACGATCCATGACAGACAAGCATGTGCGTCATTTTCGCATGACGGGCAGCTTTGACAACTCATACAGCATCAGAAAAAGAAAATTGGAAATTCCATGGATACAAACTAACCTGAAAGACGACTTGTCAACAAAAGCGTCACCTGAGCATCTATTCGTTGTTGTGTTTACACTCAAATACCCACTCTAGGGGAGCCAAGGTGTGTTGGGATCTTTATCCCAAGTGACAAAAAAGACTAGCCTAGACCTAAGGACTTCTTTGATGAGTTTATTTTGGTATCTTCCAAGTTCACTTGCCCCACAGGGCCACTCTCTTGCATGGAGGGTAGCATGTTCGTGGCTTCATTCCACAAAATCAAAAGACATGACATAATTCACTGCAGGCTTATGCACTCTAATTGAAATCCATTGAATTGAATAGAAGTGAAGTGCTTATTAGTGAATCTTGGTTCATTGGCAATTGCCTTTAATAAAGCGCTAAAATATCAAGGCCGATGTCTAACATTGGCTCTATCCACATAGTCAGTCATACCGCTTGTTCTGCGCTGTTCACCCTCCCTCACATCACAGTCTTGCCCCTCCAGCTCTCCATGCACCTCTGACCCTTCCCGCTCCTGCAGCGGCAGCCCCAAAGTTATGCAGCCTTTCCCCAATAAGGTAGGCTTCGTCCCGTATGCGGGCCGTCCAACCATTAAACACCTTGACCAGGCCAATCGTGTTCTTGACCAGCAAGGCGGCCAGCGCAATAGCTGGGTATGAGTGTCGATATGTTATCGCAATTCGCGCAGCTTCAGCTAGTTCGCTCTCTCCTGCTTCAATGCCTGGGATGATTTTGTACTTGATCAGAGCGCTTGTGAGTGCTGGAGGCCCAAATATGGCAGCTCCAGCAATCGCAAGACCAGGAAGCACGAAAGCTCGGGTCAGAACGCCGATATCAGGGTTCGCCCACCCGCCTCGCAATACCGTCCGGACAGCGACAGCAAGGCGAGTATCTGGGAACATTGATGTAATCATCCGAGCTCCGAGTTTCAAGTATAGTAGGCCCAGTGTCCAGGCTTGGATCACACGCACCGTGTGCCGGCTAGCCTCTGGCCCACCCTCTCTTGCCGCCTGAATTGACGCCGCCGTCGGAGGATACATGTAGGTGTGGAGGGGAATTGCGAGATACAGTTCCATGAGCCCCGAGATGAGGAGCGGGAAGACAACAAGTAGGAAAGAATAAGCATAAAGCATCTTGGCACCCCGTAACAAAACTGCAGCGGCGCGTCGCTCAAGATTTCCAGCAGCCAGGGATGCTCTAGCAGCGGAAACCCCATCCTTGATCTTCGCCCAAACACTGCGAGCGTGGAAGACCAGGTAAGCTGCGGAACCGAGGAGATAAACACCTATGCTGAATGCATAGATGTCGTTTGTTCGGATATGCCGAGGAATCAGCATTTTAAACATGCGTCGGCCAAACACGAGTGGAATAATGGTGAAACCAACTCCTGTGACCGCCGCGAAGATCCAGATAAATAGAATGAACAGGAAGACCCTCGCTCGGAAGTGAGGTGGTATATAGACCATCTGATACTGGTTGCTGGCGTAGAGATCGGTATCTTCTTGCCCATCGATTCTTCGCCCATGTTCATCAACATCAAGGAAGACCCTCTTGCCCTTGGGTATCTTGATGCGATCGGATGCAGGTGCACGAACAAAACGTCCACTCTCAACAAGTTGATTCGCGGTCTTGAGATGATTTTTGTGTCGAGTGAGCGAGCGAATTTCACTGTTGTTAAGAGGAGCCCTTGGCTTAGCGTCACCCCCATCAAAGAAATCAGTCCAGGTCTTTGGTACGACCTTATACCGGATATCAAGCTCTAGAAATAGAGTCTTGTACCATGGAAGTTGTTGGCCTCTGACGGGATTACCCAAACTCAAGCTCCCCTCCTCGTCAATTTTTCGTTCACCGAAGAGAAAGTAAGTGAGTCGCAAGCCTCGGGCGCAAGTCCTGAACCACCATGTATACATAGCATGGAGCCCATCCCCAGGTTTGAAGAAGCTGACGGCAAGTGGCATAAGGAAGTTGTAGAAGAGTAGGTCCACAGGAAACTCGAGTACTGGCTCATTGGACGAGTAGTGAACAGGGAGAACTCCTGGGACTGTATAAGACAGGCCCCATACCACGCCGCCCAGACAGACTATGACCAGGGCGCCGTACACAAAAGCCGAGAAGAGGATCTTTCTCAACTGCGTGGCCAGGGATCTTTCCAGGACATCACGAACAGGGTGAAACTCGGGGTCATCTGGGTCGCGAATGAAGTCTGTAAATCTGTTAGCTTCAGCAATGCAATGAATAAAGGAAAACTTACAGAGAACGCCTTGGCGCATAATCTTCCTACACATCGACACAAAGAGGGCAAAATGGAACATATAGCCAGTGCCAACAAACCAGTGAACGAAGACGGAAGTCAGGGGATAGTGATAAGTAAAGAGGAGGCGAGACTTGAAAGTCGTGTTCTCAAACAGGGGAAGGAGAGCGCCGTCCAGCAAGAGTCCGCAATAAAGCGGGAAGACAAGCATCTCAATGCTAATGATCATGATAACCTTCATAATGCCACTAGCTTGGTGCAGGGTATCGATGATGCCAGCCTCCCAAGCTTGAAGCATATGACCACGAGAAAATGGGCTTCCGCGCTTTAAGTAAAGTGCACCGAAGAAGAATAGTGTTGAATAGCCTGCTGCGATGGCCCAGAAGCGATCCAGCCCCGACCAGTGGGCCAGCTCCGGATTGACGTTAAGAGGTCCATCAGGCTCTCCAAGGTTGACCACCCAAGAATTCGGCTTCAATACTGCAGAGGAGAGAGCGGTGATCTTGAGCCATGCTACAGCTGCTGCCGATGTAATTGATTCCACCGACACACTGCTGGTGAAGATTCTGCCACTGAAGACAAAGCCCACAACCTTACTGGTGATCGTGAATAGAGCACCGATATTGCCTTTGACTGCGAGGAGTGCACTATGGCTGATGGCAGAGAAATTCTGCATCTCTGCTGCAGACATGGGCAAATCCATGAAAGTATAGTCCAGTACTCGCGAACCGGCATTGGTCCAGAGGGACCATGAAGCCTTTCTTGCTATGATGACGTGAGAGCCCACAAGGCCCCCAATAAGGCCCGTGAATATGTCGATCATGTTGATAGCAACCCACAAACCAAATCCGGCAACCATAACGGCAGCATCTTGCAAGAGCTTGGAGAATTCAAAGATCAAGCGAACAAGACGCATGGGGTTAGCAACCACCCAGAGACTGACACGTCCGAAATTGTAAGGAACAAAGATGCAAGCAAAGATTGTCACAGAAACGAGGACCGCACAGAAAATAGCGTTTTGAAAGAGTCCAGCAACAGGTCCACGCATACCGATCAGCTCCATGACACCCTCAAAATCCTCGAGATCTTCCATGGCTTCTTGATCAAGGCCTGCGCCTGGACCATCGCCCAGATCCTCGGGCTCCTCGGGCTCTTGCGCTGCAGCCTCATCAGGAGGAGGCACGTCTTGGTGGACTTCATCAAGCTCAGTTTCCCAACCATCGGTATCGTCTTGCTGAGCGGCGATGGGGTCAGCGGCATTCGCATCTGGCACAGCTCGTTGTTGCTCATCCAAGTCACCCCACATGAAATCAGTCACTCTACCGACTAAACCAGCGGGATGGCCGTTTTCCTGAACTGCAGCAAGTGGAGGCTGTTCTGATGCGTGTGGCTCCGGAGTTCCGAATGTTCCAGTGCGTTCAACCTGGCGAGCTGGCTCATCCTCGTTTTCTCTCAAATCAGGCAAAGCACTAGCCGCAGCGTCATGCCTCAGCTGTTCATGGTTTTCGGATCCAAAAAGTGCTGCCTGAGAAGCATCTGATAGCCCACTTGATGCCCCTGCCTCCTGAGTATCAACAGGCAGGTTTACAAATGACCAACTGTTGTTAGCTAGAGGGTTCACTGAGTCATGAAGTTGAGGCCCATCTGAAACAGCGCGAGGCCGAGAAGGACTTGTTGTAAAGCTTGTCTCAGATGTTTGATGAGGTAGAGGTGGTAGGATCTCCTTTTCCTTGCCCTTGCTTGAAGATTCGCCGGGCACATCCATTGGTGTTGGATAGTCGTCAGAACCGGGTGTGTAAGCCTTCCGAGAGGAACTGGCAACAGTAGAGCCGAAACTTCCTGCTCGCTCTCGACTAGTGTCAGGATCGGTGACAATACCAAGGAGAGGCTCGTCATCTTCATCATGTAGAGCCCGGCGCGTGACATCAACCCAATATGAGAGCTTGTTTTCAAGCCCCTCCTGGTGGATAAGCTCCAGGATCTTTCGAGCATCACCATCTGCCTGTCGGTAAATACGAAGGTATTCGTAGACGCTGGCACGCTCCTCAGCAACAACTGCGTCTGGAGGGGTTTGAGATTCAACTGGGCCTGCCTCAGCAGGGCTGGTTTCAATAAGACCTGGAGGGACCACGAGCTCAGAGTTCGTTCGCCTGCGTAAACGTCCATCAGCCTGAACCTGAGCGGCAAAGGCGACATCATTTGCGGTGGCGAAAGGGTCTCCGGTATCCAAAGTCTCGTCGTCTGATTCGTCTGGGCCCTGCAGTTCCTCCACTTCCTCCGGCCGGACAAGCATGGGCTCCTGCTGCGGCACAGGATTCTCAGGGGCTGGAAAGGCAGGGCGCACGTTCATCTCTGGCTGCTGCTGAACAACATAATCTCGAACCAGTATAACGAGAATGAAGCAAACGATGACCAAGACAGTGATGATTTGACCTTCAAGGATTGAAATAACGGCGCGGTTGAGAGTTGGGTTTCGAGTCAAATTGTTTAAGAATGCTACCTCTCCAAGCAGGGTTGGCGGTATGGACATGGACGGGGATGAAGTTGCGTTAGTAGATTCAGGGCGGTCGGACTTGACTGCAACGCCCCAAATAGACATCATACGTGCGAAGAAGTCAGAAATATTCTGTTCAGACAGACCATCGAGCAGAGTATTGGCAACCGAAGCTGGAGTAGTAGTTGACACAAATAAGGGGCTTCCAGGGCATGTCTCGAAATCCAAGGCCGAAGGAGACATTCCCCGTAATGAGCTTGCTGTCGACGACGCTGTGTCATTGGAGCGAGTCATCGTGGAAGTGCTGCCAAAACCCTCATCACTGACCCAGAACATGACTGACCAAATGCCTCTCATAAAGTAAGGCAACCAGCAGAGCCAAACGCTGATGGCCAGGGCTCCACGAAGCCATACCAAGACATTTTGGAAGAAGTATCTGGCCATGTGTCCGATGAAGATATGAACAGGAAGAGACTGTGGCATGTCGGGGGCGTATAGCTTCGTGAACCGGAATGATGTCTTGCAAAGTTCGCAGTACTTCTTTTGAGAATGGGATAGCCACTCCATCAGGCAATCCTGATGAACATATTTAATACTACCACTGCACTTGCAAGGGTAGAACAGCGGTTCCTCTGGAGTTCCTTCGCCTCGACATATTCGACAGATGCTGGGGTTATCTTGGGGCTGTAGTAGATCATCGGATCGGGTCGAGGTTCGGTGTAGGCTCTTAGCCTTGGCAATCGAGGTTGGATCTTCCATGATGACAATTTGAGTTTGACGAAGGCGATTCGAAACAGATCGATCGCGCCCACGAGGGGCTTATTTTATCAGGTTGCTCACAGAGGCATGCGCCGAAGTGTCGAATCGTATCGAGGGGTCTGAATGGAGTCGCAGTCGGAAACGGAGAGACGATGAGCAGACCGATGAGCGTTGCAGTGAAGGTTTGGGCTTCGATGAGACATTAAACGGTCCGCAAATTCAACAGGCGAATGTGTATATAGCGTTTGCGCCAGCCGGTGTAGAAACTAACTGTAATGTTGCTGTTAAACTAAGAGTTGAATCTTGAAGATTAAGGTTGACTTTGTTGAGAGACGTGGTTCTTAATAATTGCCCGCCCGTGTTGGAGGAAACGCTAAACCGCCACCCCCCACAGTTGACCTGCCCGAACTGCGAACCCAACTGGAGATGCCTTGCAATGTGCTGAGGTACACTGGATCGGAATCGGGGTAGTAATTTTTCCGGCAGTGACAGGATCATGGAGCTCACGTGTTAGCGCCAAATCACTGGTTGATGTCATGGCAAAACAGCCAGCACGAACCTCGGGATGTAGGAAAAGTCAAGTCCTTGATTGTAATGAATTAAAATACGCTGGTAATGTTTGTCACAAGTTTGAGAAGCGCTCTGACGGTCTATTTTTGACACCCTGATCCAGAGTCTGAAGTTTTCTGTCCCCCTACGTACCTAGTAAATGCTGATGTTCATGGCGACAAAAAGATGATGCGTTTGTCTGAATGTATCACAAGAAAGTCCATATTTTGGCGAAGCGTCATAGACTCTGAGCCCCAGTGCCTGTCTATTGAGATGAGGAGCTGCGCTGGAAGTCTTTTAACTCGCCATGATATACCAAGACTGAGACGTCTCCCTATTATCATAGATGACCTAAGTTTTAGAACGTTGTCTTTTTCTGTCCAAGACTGAGACGCTATCACATGGCAATGTTCGTCGGCTACTACAGCGTGGCTCGGGACAGTCAGTTGATGAATTAGCTGCCATGTTATGCTGTCAAAAACTTCAGAGGAAACCCTCACACAACTTAGTGGTATTTAGTGCATGCTCTTACTTTGTCTTGGTAAAGTCGAGTATGTGATAAACCATTCTTGACACCATTTCAGATTCCCTGACGTATTATGTTTGACATTTCAGCTCGTTGTTTATATCTAAGTTCCCGATCATCCAATCAGTGCGTGTGGTCCTGTCAGTGGCATCAAAAGGCGTTCGGGTAAAGCAAGCTTATGTGGTTCTGGATGACGTCGCGACCATGCAACTGTTTCGAAAACTGCAGGACAGGAAGCAATCCATGTTGGATGGTTGCTTATCTCTGTACTGACAGTGACAGAAACGGTATAATCAACTAATGGCGTCTGGGAGCATGACACCACCGTACAGATATGATGTGCGTGCTAGTAAAGGTTAGGGACCTACCAACCTTAGCTTCCATTCGCTGGGTTGGATTGGATTCCAGACCATGGATGGGATGGGATGGACATGGCCAAGACCAAGGCAGCTGTAACGACGTCAATCGTGACTTTCAGTTATCTCCTCTTCTATTCCCCAACGTTAATCTTATTTTCCTCCTCCTCCTAGAATAATACATACATCCACACAAAAGCCAAGAGCTTAACTCCTTTTTTATTTGCAGCTTCGGTTGCTTTCTTTCGCTGTCTCGCTCTTGTCTCGAGTCGTGTCACAGAAGAGCTCCTAGACCTCTCGCTTGCTTCACGGCACCAGTATTTTACAGCACGCAACCCCTGCAGTTTGTCCTGAACTGTAACGCACTATAGGTAAGCCAGCTTCATTCACTCAACCTTAAAGCTCCCAAAACTTTGGCAAACCTGACCTGACCTGACTTTGTCAAGGCTAACACGCTTCAAAGAACACATTTGTTCCTCGTTGCCTCCTCTCGCGTAGCTGAAAGCTGGAGTCTTTGCTACCGTTCGCTTGCCAATATTGGCTCTCTATCAACTCCCATCATTGATTGCTTTGACCGCAGCGCGTGTCTAGCTCGTCATCATGGCCGAGTCCGCCGGCTCGATCATGAACGGCAACGGCCACGTCAACGGCAAGGCAAATGGAAAGCCTGTCGCAGGTCGCAGAGGTTCAATTAAGAAGAGAAGAAGTATTTTTGCATGGACTTTTAGTGTCGTTGCTAGGTATGTTATCTCTGCGCGTCGTCATGGCATCTTGTTCTCGCTCGATGTCATTTTTACCAATCCTTTCCATCGTTATCGCATTGAGATGCCACCATTTTCACGCACAATAAGCTGACTGTTCTTCTGCTAGACTCGCGACTTGGTTCGCCATCTATACAGTCCTCTTCCGATGCCCACCATCGCTCGAACAGTGCGACGAGAACTCCCCGTCGATTTGTAAACCCTACTTCCAGGTTAAAAACACCGTGCAACCTCACGTTCAACCATACTACAACCACTATGCAGCGCCCTACGTTGAGATCGCCCGCCCATACTACGATACTGTCGATAGCAAGGTCTGGCAGCCCACTCGCGCATACGCTGTTCAATATGGAGCTCCATGGGTCGAGAAGGCGCAGGCGCATACCCAGGCTTTGTGGGAGAAGAACGGACAGCCTCAGCTTGTCAAATACCAGGCCCTTGCGCGTACGCACTATGAACAATCCGTTGGCCCCTACGTGAACCAAGCTGGCGAGAAGCTAGGCCCATACTACGACATTGCCCGCACCAATGGCCTGCAGATGTACTACGAATACCTCCAGCCAGGCTATGAATTTGTTCACCCATACGCTATTCGAGGTTATGATGTAGCTTCCGACTTTACTACAAAGACAGCTCTCCCCACAGCGTACTGGACATGGAACAAGACTTATGCGTTCCTTGACAGCAACGTTTGGCCTCATGTCCGCGCCGTCTATGTCCAGAACGTTGAGCCCCAGCTTATTCGCATCGGTGAGCGATTGGGACGTTACAAGACCAAGACTACCAAGCCCATTCAGGAAAGCTACTCCTCAAGGTAAGATCTCTGAGCTACATATCATTTACACGCTGCCTGACACCTCATAGCTACACCACTGGAACAACTGCCTCATCTTTCCAGAAGCCCGCTCCTCAGAGCACCACTTCTGTTCAAATATCATCATCGCAGGCTCCCGTTGCTACTGAGAGCCCTCTGCCCGAAGTTGAATCTACTTCTCCTGAGTACATCAACCCTGTCCAAGCCCCTCCTCCCGCCGAAAATGAGAGCGAGAAGCGACGAAAGGCTCGCGAAATGGTAGCTCAGGACCTCGAGACTTGGCAGACAAAGTTTGCTACTCAAGCCGACGAGGGTGCCACTGACTTGGAGGATCGCGTTGACGAGATTGCCAAGCGCATGATTGAGGAGAATGTCAACACTAACGGTCAGAAGCTCTTTGACGACCTTGAGACCACAATTGATCGAGAACTCACCGGACTTCGAAACAAGATCGTAGAACTTGCTGGAACCAACGCGGATGGCGCTGATGTGAACCAACAGATCGTCACTGCTGTGCGATCTTCTGGAATGGCCATCAAGCAGAAGGCCCAAGCCATTCGACAATGGCGCCAAGGCTATGACCAGGAACTCCAGGAGACTGTTATCACTGTCGCCGATGTTCATTTCCAGGTTCTTGACGAGACTAGAAACCTCGCCCTGCAACAGATCGGAATGAGGTGGGCTTGGACAGATGGTATCACTTACAAGGACTGGGCCAAGTACCACGAGCTGAAGCGTACACTCAATGAGTGGACAGAGCAACTGAAGCAATTGATCGTTACCCACCCAGCTCTGCTCGAGGCCCAGGATGCCGCTGCACGAGTTGAGGATGAGGGAATGGAAATCGCCTCTGTGGCTGCTAAGGAGCTGGCTCGCCTTAAGGACGTTGCCCGCTACAAGGTTGCCGCCGGAGATACATCAGACAATTTTGACGTTGATGCTATGAAGCTTGCGGCCGAGAAGGCTGCAGCAGCTAAGGAAGCTGAGGCCCAGACCCCGGCTGAGGACGACAGTGCCGCCTCCAGCCTTTCAGACGTCGTTGAAGAGGCTACATCGCAAGTACAGGACGCCGAACAGAACTTGGAAGACTTTGTTGCTTCTATTGCCGAGCCTATTAAGGAGGAAGCATCTGAAGTTGCTGAATCTGCCAGCGAGAGCGCTTCCAGCGCTTCGTCTGTTTTCGACGAGCCTAACATAATCGAGAAGGCTACCTCAGCCGTTTCAAGCAGCGCCGAATCCATCGCCAGCGACGCCTCTAGCCTCATTTTTGAAGGCGAGGAGAGTGCCAGCAGCATCGCTAAGGAAGCCTCAGAGACTGTTGAGTCTCTATCCTCCACTGCCTCCGAATCCGCCGCCCCCGTTATTGAAGAAGCGTCCAGCGACCTCTCGGAAGTTGTCGAGTCAGCCACCAATGTCGCAAAGTCAGAAGACAGCAGTATGTCGACCCCCCTTGCCTCGGAAGCATCTGAAGTGCTTATCGGTGACACCTTTTCCGTAGTCAGCAATGGTAGTGAAGAGCCCCTTGAGGCTGGTGACAAGGAGCCGCTCATCGAGATTGAGGAGGACCCCCTGGCCCACCGCGATGAGACCCCTCTGTCTGAACAGCATGAGCATGTCAAGCCCGCTTTCCTCGGTGCTGCAGCCCAAGAGGTCCCTCACCGACAGATCGTCCTTGATGACTATGTCGATACGGATGCGATTGCTAGCGCCACCGATGCTGCGCAGTCTGTGTACTCGAACGCCGTTTCTCGTGCCTCTGAGCAATACTCAAGCGCTCTTTCAGTCGTCTCTGCTCAGATCTATGGTACTCCCAAGCCAGTTCATGAGCAGCTGCTGTCTTCTGTCTCCTCGTCTTATGACAAGGCAGTCTCAGCCGCTGGTGATCAGTTTGACAAGGCTAAGCAGGCCGCTACCACCGCCGCTCAACAACTTCCTGCCACCACTACCGTCCCCACCTGGCTCGACTGGGAGCGTATTGAATCCATTGCTTCCCA